AAGGAATTGGACTTCGGTAGCGTTAGGCATATATATATATATATATATATATATATATATATATATATATATATATATATATATTCACAGTTTATTATTCATTAGAGATGTCCTAGGCAGATGTTTATTGACCAAATTAGTGATATATTGAAGATAACCCAAGTTAAGAGTAAACCTTTATGCGTTTTTATATGGACATGAAAGAATATATATATATATATATATATATATATATATATATATATATATATATATATATATATATATATATATTTTTATATGGACATGAAAGAATAAATAGTAGTGTCAGGATCGTACTAAATTAAAGGTTCTCTTAGTCTCTGCTTAACTCTGTGTGACAGTTCATATTACAGTAAAACTTAGTTAAGTGGGACCTAGATAAGTGGGAAACCTCTATAGATGGAACTCATGGTCCCGACACTTTAGCACTGAACCTCTGTTAGTCGAACAAAACAAACCTCTATATCTGGGATTAGTTCTTTCGATTTTATTTGTCATAACTACCTCTATAATTGAGACAACAAGTATATTTTACCTCTTTTAGTGAGACTATATTTTGTGCGCTGTTTTGTTTACTAATTTTTATTCTACCTGCAAATTCTGCACTTGGGTAATCATGTAAAAGTGACCTCCAGTTTTAGTTTGGTTTTGTTATTGTCCAGAATCCAGATGTCGGGAAGGCTTTAGTCTTTATCAGTACGTAAAAACTAAAGTTAATATCCGTTTATGAAAGTGGAAAACTTAGATAAAAATTAATAACTTTTTAGATTAACAATCTAAAAATTAAAATTAAGATTACAACTCATATATAATGTTTACAAAATACGTTATTTTAAGTAATAATTACACCTTTATAACTGAAATAACCTCTATTCTCACCTCTATTAATGGAACCCTCTGTAAACGACGCAGATATTTACTTATACCTGGATATCTGAGACACTGGGTAAGTGGAATACCTCCTTAAGTAGGACAAATTTTCAAGTCCCTTACCAGTTATCCAGGTTTCAATGTATGTTTAGTTATCTATAAACGGTGGCCTTGCAAAGACAGTAAAATTATTTATAAATCATATCAATTTCTGCATTATATTGGCACTACACTACATCATACACATTACTACATTATATAAATGCACTCGCCAATTTTTAAACAAGACAAACAAACAACAAAGCAAAAAAATTCTAAGATACCAAATAAACGGAAACAGAGCACAAACTTACCTACTTACACTTACTTAAAATGTAAGCAACCTTTCAAGTAAAGCCAAAGCCATATTCAACTTATTGTAAAAACATCTTAAAGCATTTGCAACCAACAACATGCTTTTATTTGCTTATGTGTGTACATGAGCACTTTTACACACCAGTAAAGAGAGAATGAAGAAGATTGGTACATGACTGCATGACATTAAGTGGAATATGATTTCGGCATTACAAAAAATGTACAAAATCACCACATCTAACTTTCTTTCTTAGTCTGAAAGAAATTTAACCCTTAACTTCCTACCCCTAATTTCAGATACATATCTACCTACCTGGAGTCTCACAGACTCCGTTACTTTGAACATTTAGAAAAAAAAAACTATGATGTGGGGTGACTAATTGAAATAAAGAAACGTTATTATTAATATCTTTTATTCATATTAAAATTATAAAAATAAAAAAATTCAATGTCATTCATAACCAAAACTAAGTTTCTTTTTTCGCTGACTAAAATAACTTAAAAAAGTAACATTCTTATAACATGAGGTCTGTAATAAAAGTGATCAAAAATTAGGAACTTTCCTTATTCAATTTTTAAAGTTCAGTAAATACTAAGCATAATCAATCTCAAAAAAAAAAAAGTTGCCATAATGGATATATTTTTGCAAAATTGCAATGTTCAAATTTTATATTTTTTCAACACAGGAAATACATGTCATGTGGGAGCATTCCAGGCAAATGGGATTCTTGCACATGAAACATAAGTATTGTGTCTTACGTTTTTTTTTTTGGATTACATACAGAGCAGTATTTGCGTATTGTTAACTTTTCTGGTGCATCAGCACTACACCCTGCAAAGTCAGGAAGTGCTTCTTGGTCTAGTTTCATCACTCGTCGAAGAGAAAGTCTTATGTCACGCTGAATCGTCGTCAATTTCTCTCTACGCTCCATGTGTGGTCTCGATAGCTGTCCAGCAAGCGTTTTCATGAATTGAAAATCAGGTTTTAGGCTTTTCCAATTGGGTAAATAAGTATACCATATATGAATTGGATGCTGATATATCCAGTAATCTATAAAATATGGCAAGTCGACCCGTCGAATAGTTTGAGCACTTTTGATCTAACAAATCAACTCCGATTTTGGTATGGTTATAAAATGGTATGATTTCTGGTTTTTTGGTTGCTTGATCTATATCTGGTGTATGATACATGCTTGAAATAACAATGACTGCTTTGTTTATTTTAGGTACAAATAACGCGATTGATATGTGTTTCGTAAAACCAAAGAGAGATGTTTCAAGCTCTTGCTGACGTAAAGGAAAGAACTGGGGTGGTATGTCTCGTTGATTTTTTCTCATTGTGCCGACTAGTGTCAGTTATTTATCTCTCAAACAATTGGCAAGCTCAATAGACGTAAACCAGTTGTCTGCCGTTATGTTTCTGTTTGTTCCTTCAATACATGTAGAAAGCCGAAGCACAGCTTGAGTAGGTTTCTTTAGCCGAGCATATTCAGTAGGTAGGTTTAACCCATCGGAATCTTTTCCTGTATAAATGTACGCATTAAGGAGATACCCTGTTCTTGCATCAGTGAGACACATTATTTTTATGCCATATTTAGCGGGTTTTTAGGCATATACATTTTAAAACGGCACATACCGCGGTACGCAACGAGCATTTCGTCAACACAAGCATAACTTCCAATACTATATACATCTTGACATTGTTTGATAAAAGAATTGAACAGATCCGATATAGGCGCAGACAGATCACTTTCTCGACGAGTTTCTCTTGTCAATGAATCGTCAAATCGAATAACGTTTAGTAAAACTTCGAATCGGTTCTTGCTCATTATGCATCGATATATTTCTCTGCCTGTACCATCCGTACTAAACCACGACTGATAAAATTCACGATTTTCCTTGAACACAGCTGTATAAAATAACAAACCTATAAATGCTTTAAGTTCTACTATATCTAGATCTTGAACACATGATTGCTTTTTGTATTTTGGTCTGATAGATTAAAGTTTTTCGTTGGTGTGCAGTACAATTGTATCGAGCATTGCATCAGTGAAGTATTAACTCCAAATATCAAGCGGTGAAGACGAAGAATCAAGATTGTACCCTGGTTTTATACCTTGTCTTTGTTGCACAATATTGTGTTGTCTTGAGCGACTAGAATGTGGCACTGACGACCAATGGAAACGATTTTTGCCATAGTAATTTTTCTTCCTCCGTCTTGGTGCAAACTGATACAAAGGAACATCATCGTCCGACGAAGAAAAATTAGAAAGCGTGCTCTGGGGTTGAGATTCGGCCTCTACTAAATTCGCGTCTTCATCACCCTCAATCTCGGAGTCAGATGCAGAGTCACAAGACAGTATAATATCCCCACAGGTATCTGCTTCCACATCACTGCAATCTTCGTTGAACGTATCTTCTTCATTTGAAGAATGTTCATCCTCCAACCAACGCATGATAATTTCATCTTTTGATGTCATTTTCAACTAAAACAAAAAAAAAGACATTTCCTTAAAAATTCACGTAACTACCTACCCGGAGTCTCTCAGACTCCACGCAAAAGTTTTTTACTTACCAAAAAACAGCGCGCGCACGTTTGTCCTCGAAGAGCGCAGATTCGGAACTGCAGGTAGCAGAGTGGAGGTACACGGACGCACGAAGGACAAAAACGCACACACGTAAAGTTATAAACAAAAATAAATTCGATGGAGTCTGAGAGACTCCGGGTAGGTAGTTAAGGGTTAAGCTTTAAATAAAAAGTAAAATCAGACTACAATAAAACTAAAATTAATAAAATAATTTTATATACTGATTGATAAGACATATTGTATAGAAGAATTACAGAGACTTCAGAAATTATTCAATTTTATTTAATTCCTGGAGTCAGTTTTACTCTTTTTATAAGTTCAAGTAATTTTTATATTTTAGTAAAAATTGTGTTTAAAATATCACTGATGTTCTAGCTTCAACTAGTTTTTAAATTTTTTTTTAATGAGCTAGACTATTAGCTTTTATTGCCATTATTTTAATAGCCACCAATATATCATAAAACTGTACTTCTATAATTCATATGAATTCCACATCTTTTGAGATGTAATAAAACAGAAATCAGTTAATTTTGTTGTTAAAGTATGGTTTACAATTTATGAAAAACTTTTTACCAACTTTTTTTATTAATTTGTTTTTTATTTTTATTTTGTTGAAAACCGGGTGGGGTAACCACAGTAGAATTTTCTCCTGTATCTCGGAGACAGTTTACAAAGATAAATTGCACATGGACAAACATCCAGACCCAAAACATATACTTGTTTCATACAGGATATGGGTGCAAATCAATAATTTAGGTTTATATGGGACCATATAATCACTTCTTCCATCAAATAAGATCTTGTATAAGCATTGTACCATTACAAAAAAGTAAGCAAATTTACAAAAGGAAGAAAAATTGAAATGCTAAAATCGCCTTTTGATAATGATAACTCATTGATGCAACTATTGCAAGGAAAAACACAAATGAGGTTGATATGGCAACAATATGGGACAAATTATTACTATGATATTCAAATTTCTACATATTTAAGATATAATGTGCCATATTTCTTAAGATATGTAACAACCCAACATTTAATTACAGGTAAATTTCTAAATAACAGTATAAATAATATAAAAATAAATCACAGATTCATCATATAATTAATGTTTTAGACATCTTGAACCACAAGAAGCTAATAATACAGTACAAATTTGATACTTACATACATCTTAAGAACACGGTCAAATGTTTCTCTCAACTTCTTCCTCTTTTCTTTCAAAACTTTTTCATTCAGTGGTGAAGGTTGTAGTACATTATATTCTAAAAGTCAATTTATCATTTTTAGTGCATATTTCTATAATAATACAAATTTTTATATGTGGTAGAGCCATGCTGCAGTTATATTAGTATAGTTGTAGCACGAATGGGTCGGCTCGACCGGGGAAGGACCACGCTCTCACAAAATACCAGCGTAAAATAGTAGCTTAATGCTGTTGTGTTTCATATGTGAGTATAGAGAACCAGAGACCATTTTTACTGGAAACAAGGCATTCCATCTTAGTCCTCACGGGTGACAATGTATCTGTATTTTGATTTGTAATCGAGGATAGATGTAGATGTCTATGGGCCACAGCAACCACTAACCATCAGATGGACTGTGTGCTCATTTGTCACCCTATCCTATATATTAAAAAAAATGTAATATATAAAATTATAGATAAATAAAAAAGTTCAGTGGGTAAATAAGTGTCCTTGTAGTGACCATGTAAGAATATCTACCACCCCATGTACAGAAATTGAAACAGGAGATGGGCAGCAGCATCATCCTGAAAACTACTCAAAATAATAAACAACTATGGTTGCCAACCTGCTAGACAAGCATGGCAACTATGGCAAAAACCCCCCATTAGGCATTCTAAGAGGGAGACCTATGTTCAGCAGACTTATAGGCTGTGATGGATGGATGGATGAATGGCTAGTCATTAATTAAAAAAACCAACTGCATAAAAATCTACTAAAAAGAAAAAATTCTGATATTAACAAAGTATCTATCCTTTCTGAGGGAATTATGGAATAGTTAGTTTGCCGTTCATTATTTACTCATACGATTCCAGTGCATGTCACATTTCCTCGAAACTCTTTACTCCTCAGTTTGCAGTTATCCTTACAATGTTTGCCTTTACCACAAAGCATAGTCATTATCTATTATATAATAATAACTTGTTAATCATATCTCATTTATTTATAATCAATTTACCACTTTTATTTACAACCATTTCCACAATTAAGATGAAACTAAAAATGTTAAAATCCATCCAGCCATTTAGCCTATAGATATATACAAACATATATATACAAACATACACATACTCCAAAAACTATACCCTTTCTAAGGCAGTTGGGTTAATAGCTAAGGTATGCTGTTTCTTCAAACAACGAAAGATAAGTTACACCATTTTATTAATACTTTGCTATAATTCCCATTAATTTAAAATTAATAATATATTGCAGTATCAATACTTTTTGAATGGTACAAAAGGCAATTAAATAAATGCAAATTAAAAAGTTTTCATTGAGCATTGATAGGCTTTAGTCAAAACTAATTTGTGTCTTATAACTTAGTAGCATGCTTATTTGCCATAGTTTTCACACTTTACTGAGCCATGGTAGCTCAGATGGTTAACGCTCACTGTAAATATTACAGAATGCGAGTAACCCGGGCTCGATCCCCGCCAGCACCAATGAAATTGTTAATTGCAATTTTAAGTGCTGATTTACCACATGCTCGGTGGTGAAGGAAAACATCATGGAGAAACCTGCATGTCTGGGGAATAAGAAAAAAAAATATTTCGAAGACATGTGAAGTTCGCCAACATGCATTGGGGCAGCGCGGCAGACACTTCCTTGCCCTAAATCCTTCTCAGAAATGAGGGGAGGCCTGTGCCCAGCATATATAGGCTGTAACTTTACTTTACTTTCATACTTAGCAAGAGGGGTGACAATCGCCTTTTTAGTCATTATTAGGAAGACGCAGCTGCCCATCTCCTGATTTGTTTCCCTCTGTCGCCTCTAACGACACCCACAGGATCATAGTGTAGTGGATATTCTTGCATTGCCAATACACAGTTAACACTTTTATGACATTTATAAGCTATCCTACTCTATGCACTTTATCCACCAGAATGTAGGCATTAGACAATTTGATTTCTAGACAAGGTATAACATGTACAAGTTTTCTTTTGTTAGCCTTGCTGTACATGGAGCTGGAGCCATATTAGTGCCACTACACAAATTAGTACATACAAATAAAAGTTGTATAATATGAGTAATGCCACTGCACCAGCCAGTTCAGCACTGCTCTACTGCTTATTTGTGTAATCTCATACTCATTCTGAGACCTTAAGGAATTTTGAATTCCTTGCAGTATAAACCAGGGTACCCATAATCGCCTTTTATGTTTATTTTTTTAATGACCACTTTTCGTAATGTCATTAATATATTCTTCTTTTTAAATAAAGTACCCGGTTGACCGAGCTTTGCTTGGTATTTTTCGCTCGGTTTTTTTTATTTGTGTGTTTTGGAAATTATATTTAGATACAAATTACGTACTGATGAAATACAAATAATATTTTTTGATCTTAAAAAAAAACTGAACTGGTTATTTGAATAAAAAATCATGAGTGCAATTAGTTTAATTTAAATTGTCGTGTTGTTAAAAATACTAAAAAATGGGCTCAAAAAAATAGATTTACTCAAAAAAGAAAGGAACTTGAAAAAAAAAATTAAAAAGGCGGTCGGTCGGTCTGGGCTCGAACCATGGTATTACGATTTTGTGACCGCCCAATATACCAATTAAGCTATATGTAATCATTAATAAACTGTCAAAATTTACCTTCTTATTCTAACGATATTGTAGCAGTTTTGCATCGCCTAAACACACTGACAAAAAGACATTTTCTAAAAATAAATCCTAGCTAGATCGATTTATTGCCCCCGAAACTCCTTGCACACAAAATTTTATGAAAATCGGAGCTGTTTCCGAGATTCTGAAAAAAAAAAAAAAAAAAAAAAAAAAATTATATATATACAAGAATTGCTTGTTTAAAGGTATAACATATATTAATATAAAACAGATGTAATAACAGCTCCAGCATTGCTAATTTACTGAGTTGTGATTGTGGCTTTAATATTCAATGCAATTACTCTTGGCCTTGTTACAGTTATGGTGTAGTTGAGTTATGATATGGATATGAATACAGAAACACTGTGATCTGCTCAACTGGTGTGGCTATGGATCAAACCCAAATTATCTACTTGAAGCCTTAGATTAGCCGTTAGCAACTGCTCCGCCTAGTAGTCATAATTGCAATTTTAATGTGGAGTTTATTTACAGCTGAGACCAACATATGTTCCCACAAATTAATGGTTTTTGGGTCTGCCTGATTAGTACTCCATATGGAGGTAACCAACTATCAAAAAAGTAACTTTTACAAATGTGTTATTGAAGCAACATATTTTATAAACAAATTTCAATAATGTTTAAGCTTATACCCATTTCATCGATTTTCTGTAACTCCTCTAGAATTTGTGTAGGATCTTTCATTTTCAACACTGCTGCTCTTACCATTTGCCTTTGCCTTTTATTTTTCTTTAACTCTTTTTTTCTGGCTTCTTTTCCTAAAAATAAAGGCATTTAATGTTAGCAAAAATTTACGGAATATTCATATAAAAATAAATTAAATTACAATAAGCATTACTTACTTGCTTGGTCAGTTGGATTCATATATTTACCACTTTTAGTGGTGTTTATTGATCGACGCCCCATTTTAATGATTTTCTAAATAAATTTACTTATAACTTTTAAATTGTAATAAAATCTAATCCAATTTAATCACAAATCAGCACATAAAATAAAGGCAACGATTTATTCCTACGAGTAATAGTAGCATAGATAAATAAATATGTAATAGTAGTGTTCTGTCTTCATCTGTCTTCTTTTTCTCCAACTTCTCTCATAGCCTCATCCATAGATTAGTTAGTATAAACTTTTTTTTATTAACTGGCTTTACGGCTCTGGGTTCTAGCTCTTCTGAGCCTATCATTTCTTTCGGAATCTTCTTTTTATATTCTTTTTCTTCACAATATGCTGATGCGTCACATTATGAAACCCTTGGGAGATTATAACGACAGCTCAACCCAGCAGATAGTTGATGATGACAGCCACTCAAGTTCATGAGACACCCAAGCGATCAAAATAACTTGAGGTTTATATCGATATCAAAGCACTTGTTTCGTCCTTTTCCCTAATAGTTCACACGCGTGGACACTTAATTCACAAAATCGCATCACTTTAACGAATCAACATCCACTTCAAACTATTATTTAAGCGACAAAACAGGAGCGACAATCCGTCTACAGCCAAGTTCCCGCCAAAACTCTCAGTATAAACTCTAGCGATGGGTCAACTCGAGTTAACTCTAATTGCGCTTAACTCGAGTTGGATCTTTCTAGCTCGAGTTTGGGCTGCATGTACACTATCGAATCAAACGAGCAAACGAAAGCGAAAGAGTAAGAGGGCGATTTGTTCGTTGTGCGCATAGATAGTCTTTTTAAAAATGTTATTATTTGTTGAAAATATTTATAAATAAATTTTGTTGGAAATTATTTATAGATACGTTAACTTACAAGTTATGATTAGTTATATAATAGTTAATAGTTAATATTTTACAATAAATTAGTTATTAATTAATATTTGACATTAAATTAGTTATTTGATAATATTTGACAATAAATTATATTTCGTTTTCTCATATTTATATAATGTTTCCATAACACCTATAAAAAAAAGTAATAACTTGAATTATCATATAATCCTACTCCTCGTGGTATCGTGTCAAAAACGCTGGCTACGTTTCCTCACTGAATGGTGATATTTAGTTACCGAACGAGAAAAGAACTAACCCTCTTATCACCAGCAGCAACGACCAGTCGTTACCTTTAGAAATTATACCGAACGTAGACCCCATGGACCGATAGTCTTTACAGCGAGTGACCCAAATATGTAGTCATTTCTCAGAGACACATATTTGCGCCAATTATTTAAATCAACTGCCTCTGATGCCGCCCCCGCATTAAACGAGGAACCCTGAGATGAGAGGCTGCTAAAGTGTGTCCATAAGTAGCATCATACACCTCTACCCAGGAACCAATGTCATACCATCAGGTCTCTTGCATTCTCTTAAGTTTTTGAGAATTATTTTTCTTTTATTTATTCAGAAAATAATTGATGGAATCAGGTGTTACTTTGCGGATATCCATTACAATAAATATATTAACAGTTAATTTGCAACCATCCGCTAAATTAAATACAATGATGTGTCTTACTTAGATCTTAGCTAGTCTTAGCGGTCAGCCGCCGTAGAGTCTACATCACCTGAAGATGCCTCGTGTAGAGACGAAACACGTGTCGTATTATCGTCGATGGTGTTTCTTGCCTGGTAGTGATGTTAGGAGTAGTGGTGCCGGGAGTAGTGGTGTTGGGAGTAGTGGTGCTGGGATTAGTGGTGACGGGATTAGTGCACGCAATTGAGGAAGGGCGGGAGGTGCTCTTCAATCTAGGTAAGACACATCATTGTATTTATTTAAGCGGATGGTTGAGAATTAACTATTAATATCATTATATTCAGAAAATACCGGATTGAATTTTTTTAATTCAGTGCCTTATATCTTAATTATACACACAAATATATATACATATATATATATATATATATATATATATATATATATATATATATATATATATATTTGACACATAGATATTATATTTTCTTTCGAGTAAAATTATTTACATAGATATATAGATATAGATATTTACATAAATTATTTACGTTACATTTATTTACTATAAAATTAAATTTTCTTATATTTTATGCCGAACTTGTAGTTTAAATTATAATATTAAATAAATCATTTGCCGTAAAATATTTTCATTTTATTTTTCATTTCTAACTAACTACTGTACCATTATTTCATAGTTTGTAGTATAACATTATATTACATTATATTAACTATACTATATTATATTATGATAACATAAAATTATTAGTAACGTTCTGATATATCGGTTTCATGTCTAGCTAGTTTAACAGTTTGCAACACTGATTTGTCTTCTTTCCACATCTGTCGTTTGCACTTATTTGTCTATGGTTTGCACCCGTTTGCACTATGTAGTGTAGAGGTAAGGAGTACTGACTCTGTATAAAAAAGTGTCCGTAGGAAAGCGCTAAATAAGGTGGCGCTACTGTAGCTACAGTCTAAATTTTAAGATTTTTTTTATAATTTTTTTATTGTACAGACTTTCACCATAATTATTTTTACAATAATTATTTTGTTGCTTTCAAAATTTTTATTTTCAAAATCACTCTTAACGTATTTTATGGCGATTTATCACTCCCTGTAGCTACTCGAGCGCTATTGTGGAGAGTTTTTGAACTGTTATTTACTGCTTACGAATGGACACATTTTCAACTATTCTCCTATGGGAGATTGTCTTTCTTACCTCTATACTCCATGGTTTGCACGTTTGTACAAGGTGGTGGTGTTCCATGGAGGTGTTCACTGCTGGGGATGTCGATTCTTTCCGAAAAAGGTCGATTCAAATCTCTGATGAATCTTTAGTCGATTGGTCTTAAAGATAGATTTCTCAAAAATCGATATTTTTCGATTTGCTTTTAAAGTTTATATTTACAATATCAAAAGAGATAAGAAATTACAGATTACAAAGTAACAAATTTTTTATTTCCTTAATCAATTAAAAAGAAACGAAGGAAACTGTGTGCTCAACACAGCAGTTTTGCGAGTTTTTCAAAAAGATAAACTGTCCTTTGCGAGTTCGGGTACATCCAACTAATTGTAAATCATTTTAAAGATCTTATAAAAACAAAAAAAAATTTTGATCTCGATTTTCTAGGGTGAAATATCGATTCACTGGATCGATTCAGAACTATATATCAATTTTAAAAATCTATCTTTTTGGCGCAAAAAATCGATTCTTCGATTAATCTACCTCAAATCGATATGCCTACTCTCTCTATTGCTCACTGCCATCTGTAACTGCTGTTTGAAAAAAAATGTTGGTTGGTTGGTAAGTTACTTAGAGTAATTACATCCCATACGTATGCAGTAGTGTAATAGTAGTAGTGGAATATGGTCTCAATTTGATAATAAAGGCAATTCTGTGAACGGTTTGTAAATATTGTTAACAAACGATGTCCTATAAATCTATTAATGGGAACTTAAGTTCTATCTCAAGAAACTTATCTGCTAGTGCTAAGCCTGGTTAAGCATGAAAAATAATCACCAATTTAAATGATAATTAATAAATAAACTACCTTTAATAATCTAAGTAATTAGTGGAATAAATGTTTTGCATTGGTTTTGCAATTTGAGGTTATGTTACGGTTACACCGATATCGATATCTGAAAACAGTTTTCAATAACGATATGAAAACTCAATAATAACGTCCTCCAGAGCGAACTTTGGTCACGGCGGCCTGCCTCAACGGAGGCTAGCCATCAGCGCAGGACAGGATTGTAGTACCCAAGTGTATGCGCAAGCACAGGTGCACTCTCTATTCCCCCTTTCTCGTAATCCGATGGGACGGTAAACCGACACGACCAGGAGGACCAACGGCTTTACGTGCTTTCCGAGGCACGGGGGTGAGACCCTGCCAACTTCCTGACTCCGGGCAGCTACTGCAATGATTTCAAAAAGTAGGATAGGCCCATCTAAATATTTTACTCTATAACTTTTTCATACAAAAAAAGTAGCGCATCTGTCGTAATACAAACGTCATATCTAAACACGACGTAACCAGGCTCGGTTTTCGTAGTATAATTATCCTGACTGTACCATTATTTCATAGTTTGTAGTATATAGTATCGTAGTAATACTAAGCAAAAATATCATAATTTTACCTAAAGGTCGACTTGACTTATTATTGGGTCCTTTTACATTTTAATATTAACCCTACGACATCGAGAATTTCTGTATTGTACATGAGTACCGCGTTTTTTTTTTTAAATTAAAATTGGAATTTCCTCCCTTTCTGGTCAATCGATGCTCGGACGATGCATTTACGTTGCATCCTTGATACAACCTACCAGGCTACCACGATAAAAATTCTATGCTCCAGAAGCAATCGGTTTGAAAAAGAATTTCAAAATATTTTATGAATCAGATTTTCAGATTCAATTAAGCAGATATGGTTTATTTTGTACTCTTTTTGTATACCCTAATTGAATATAAAATGTAACAGGTACCAATATTCAAAATTTAACTTATACATATCTAGTTATTTAGACAAAAAATAAACAGAAATAAAAAAACAAACCGTCAAAAAAACGAAACTTATAGATAAACTAGACGCGTGACGCCAAAATCGCGGTACATGGGAAAAAAGGGATGTAAATACCAGCGCTCTTTCGGGATGTAAATACCAGCGCTCTAAAAAAAAGTATAATTCTGCTTCTAGGTCCTTCAAAAGAGTCATTGCCAAGGCAGTCAGAGCACATAGGCAGAATTGGCGAGAAACTAGTTCGCCTTCCTTCTGGAACCCGTGCATTCTGGTCTCTCGCCAACGCTGTCCAGGGGAATTTCTGTCAGCCATCTCTTCCATCTCTGCACAGGGAGGACCACTCACTGGCCCATACCGCAAAGGAGAAAGCCGATCTTCTAGGCTCTTTCTTTGCGTCCAACTCGACGCCAACCATCCCGCGGTATGAGTGCTCCATGCCGGATGTGCAGTTCACACAGCGCTCGGT